GTTCACTTGTACCTCCATCATCTGGGTACCTTGCTAAAGATAATCTCTTGAATATTATCTGGAAATACATGGCAAATATAACCTCATTTTAGTAGTTTAAAATGATTACTAGATTGCAAGCCTATTACTGGTGCTACAGAATAGAACTGCTGTTGCAAAGAGATGAACCAGAACACTTAATGGGACCTCAAAATATCTAATGTCTGGGATTATCACTGTCTATGCTTATTAAAGAATTAATAAAGACAGTGATCCAGAAAAACTCTTATGTATTGATGGTAATAAAAGACATATATAACAGCCATACTTATTTTTTTGTTAATTTCTGAATTTCCGACATGTTCTAACACTGGTTGAAGCCCATTTCATTCCAGTTTCCAAGGATTTGGGTCCATTGGGTCCTCTGACTTCCAAAAGATGAACACTACTAAAATTCCAGGAATAACCTGGACGAAGATGAGAAAGATTTTCAAAGGCATAATTTCAGATCAGAGCCCCAAATCCCATTGACTTTCAGTGTCTATCAGTAATTTTTGCTTTTGAAAATACCCTCCTTGCACTTTAAAGCATGCCAAGGCAAGTTTACGTTGAACAGGTGTGCTTGACAGGAAGATGTGCCAAAGGTTTAGAAACAGAACAGCTCTTTCCATTTTATAAAGAATAACTTCAATGAACAAAGCATAAGTAAATCCCTTGGAGGTGAGGTTTTCCTTTTGAATGTCTTCAAAGAGGTGACAATCTAACCAAGAACTATGGGATGGTACTGATGGGAGACATCATTTTTTCTGGACATCTGCTGGAAGAGCAATGCAGCCAAATATAAAACATTGAGCCAGGTACTAACTTGCATGGAAGACAACTTTCTGGTTCAGAAGGCTAGGGATACAACTAGGGGATCGTCTATTTTGGGTCTTGTCCTGACCAACAGAGAAGAACTGGTGGAAGATGTGAAGGTGATGGGCAATTTAGAAGGAAGCGATCATGATATGATCACATTCCATATCTTGAGACAAGTGAAAGCATGAAGTCAGCAAAACTAGGATGCTATATTTCAAAATGGAGGATTTCACTCGACTCAAGGAGTTCATGTGCATGGTGCCATAGGAAGTAGACTGAAGGATAAAGGCACTCAGGAGGGCTGGGAGCTTCTAAAGGGCACAATACTGGAAACCCAATAAGAACTTTTCTAACACAATGAAATCACAAGAAAAATCGCAAGAGTCCAACGTGTCTGCAAATGGAACTTTTAGGATGCCTCAAATGTAAAAGGAAAGTATACAGGCAACAGAAAAATGGACACGTCACCAAAAAATTAAGCTGAAGCCAGACAGCTAATAAGGATTATTTGGATAAAGGAGATAAACTGAAGGGCGAGATAACAAGAGAGACAGTCAGAGAGCTTCTAATGGATCTGAATAAATTAAGTCAGCAGAACTTGGTGAACTTCATCCTAGGATACTGAAAGAACTGGCAGAGGTGATCTCTGAGCCCTTGGCAATGATCTTCATAAAGTCATGGGAGATGGGCAAAGTAGCAGAGGTCTGAAAAAGGGCCAACATAGTGCCTCTTTAAAATAAAAAAGGCAAAAAGGAGGGCCTGCGAAACTACAGACAGTTTAGCCTCACCTCAATACTTGGAAAGTTACTGGAACATCTCCTAAAGAAGTCCATTTGTAAGCATCTGGAGGAGGAAAGACTGAACACAAGCAACTAGCATGGATTGACAAATCATGTCAAACAAACTGGAATCTCTATCTTTGACAGAGTAACTACTTGGGTGCATGAAGGTAATGATGTGGATGTACAGTATCTGAAATTCAGCAAAGCTTTTGACAAGGTCCCACATGACCTTCTCATAAACAAATTGGAGAAATATGAGCTGGACAAAACTACTATATGGTAGATAGACAATTACCTTGATAGCTGCAAGCAAAGGGTAATTATAAACGGATCCGTGTCAGAATGGCAGGAGGTTTTGAGTGGAGTCCCACAGGGGTCTGTCCTGGGCCTGCTGCTGTTTAACATGTTTATTAATGATTTGGATGCTGGCATGGAAATCTTCAGAATGTCTGCAGATGACATGAAACTGGGAAGGACTGTGAACATACTGGAGGACAGAAGTGCAATTCAGAAAGATCTCAACAGTTTGGGAAACTGGGCTGAAGCTAAGAGGATGAAGTTCAGTACTGACAAACGCAAGGTGCTACAGCTCGGGAAGAATAATATAAAATACAAATACAAAATGGGTGATACCTGGCTGAATGTTAGCACTATGGAGAAAGATCTGGGAGTCTTGGTAGATCACAGACACAGTCTGACTCTGCAGTATGATGCAGCTGCACAAAAGGCAAATGCAAAAATATTCACTGTTAAAATAGTGAGGCAGAGGATTAGACTGACTAGGGAAGTTGTGGACTCTGTCACTGGAGGTTGGACAGCCACTGTTGGGGATCAGCTAGGTACAGCTATGTTCTACCATGGGTATTTCCCATGCTTCTGGGCTTTGCTGGTTGCTGTATGGAGCTGGGAGGGAATCCCCCATCCCTCACCTTTCAGCTACATGTATCAGGGTTTTTTTCTTAAGCTTTCCTCAGAGGCACTGGGTGTTGGCTGCAGCCAAGGCTGTGGATTTTGACTGGGTTGTGCCAGTGCTCCTGCTGGGACTTAGAGGCAGAGGTTCTTAGCTAGACGGCTTTGCCCCTCCACTCAGGGTCAGACTAATAACATTTAGAGCAGGAAGGTATTTTACCCCATAGTCAGACTGGTATGGACTGTGGGGGGCTTTGCCTTCCTCTGCAGTGGTGGGCATGGTCCTCTACCTGGATTTCTTGGGCATATATTAGCAACCTGTTACAGAAGCAGGATGTTGGCTGCCATAGTCGTCCTACTTTACCAGTGGTAGGTCAGGGTGTTATGTCTTGTGATGTGTCAGGGTTAATTGCAGTTTTACTAAGAGGTTATATTATGGATGGGAATGATACTTTTGGATGGGAATGATGCTCCCTCAGGCATTGGTTTGACTAGACAACCTCCAGCTGTACTTCTCTATGATTCTATGACATGATGCTTCACTCTGTATCTGCAAGCAATAGATGCCAGGGAAAAGACAGACAGAAAAAGGAAACTTTATTTCTGATGACAGTTGGTTCTGAAGCACTTGATATTTTTAATACCTTTTAGTTAACTTAGGCAGAAGAGGCTCTGATACTGCATTATGGAAATGTGAGGAGTACTGCACTCCATGTTTTAAATGGAGAATAAAAGATGGAAACATAATAGAGTTTGTGACCACTCTAAAACTGAAGAGCCAGCTGTGATTTTGGGGGCTTGATCTTTGATAAAAGACCACAGCTTGATTGGGAGAGGAAAAATAAAACACAGGTGAGACAAATCAATTAGAAATTGCCAAGCAAAGGATGCTACCCACTCCAGACTGAGGATTATGGAAGGGGAATACAATTTGAAACCTGCGGGTACAACAACAAATCTCAACTGCTACAGGAAGAGACATGAGGTAGGAAGATAAATGGTGTTCAAAGCTAGAATCCACACAAACAGACCACGGAGCTGCACACACTGTGGCAAATGCTGCAAGCCAGGATAATACGTGGCATTTGGAAAACAGATGCAGGCTCTGCAGTGGATTACATCACTAAGCAAAAGTTGCCAGATCCAGCAGAGTGCACAAAGAATGGACAAAGAGAATGAAAACAGCACAGTTGGCTAAGATTTGTTCTTCCCAGGAGCAGTGGACACCATTGCAGAAGAAGAATGTTCTATTGGGCTGAAAGTAAATGGACCTCTTAAACTACATATGGATGAAAAAATCAGGGTGGTGCTAGAAACCGTATGGAAAGCCATAGCAGGAGAGGAGAGATAGGAGAGACTGAGACATATTAAGAAGCTCAAATGTCAGCTGGAGCTGGTTGTTGTGTGGCGTTTCATGATTTCTAACTGATGCTGATCAGTTAAAACTCAGACAGTGAATAAAGCAGAACTGTCAGATTCCTTGGTCTGCCACGTCATTTCTGAAGGGTTCAAGTAGTACTGCACTCTAAGCAAATCCTATTGACTTCAGTCATGTACAGGTAAGGGGCTCTAAAGTGGTTCACATCTAATGTGGTTCTTAAACCACATTTTGAGGGGAGTTCTACTTGTTGCAGATCTACCAGAGAAGAGAAAAAATTGTGATGGTGAATTTATAGCAGGAGAAAAAGGAGTTAATTTACTTTGGTCTAGCTGCACAAATATGGGCACATATATTATTTATAGATCAGCACAGGCTGGATAAATGTGAGACTCCAGGGAAAAGATAAATGCTGTTCAGCCATATGCAAACAAGACTCTAATAATGAACACTGAAGGATATATACCTGCCCTTTAGTTCCATGTTAATTGTTTGGTTAGTGAAAGGAACAATACATGCCAGCAAGTATGAGAAGTATTTCCAGACTCCCAGTCTCACCCCTCCCTGCAATGTGGGTCTGTTTTGTATTTACAGATGAATCTAGGAAAGTACAATAATAAAGAAATGTTTTCCTTTATTTGAAAGTAAAGTAATCAGCCAAAAAATATGTAAGGTCATGTCATCACTTCAGTGATATCAGATGTCACTGATGAATCCTCCTATATAGTCAATAAATGGCAAATCTTGTCTCCCTCCCACACTCAAAGTAATTCATCTTTGTATACTTAGGAGATGACAATTTTCAACTTCAGTTACATTAGTCCTTACAGCCTTCCGCATTGTGCAGACATAGGATGGCCAGCATCCATACATATTTATGAGTTTACCAGTTCTGCCCATGATACCTGCTTTTGTGATTGCTTAGGGGAAGCCACTATGGACCTCTATCGGTCAAACACACCACACATTCCAATACAATCTGCAAAAGCAGAACTTGTCCTTCACATATTAGTGATTCATGACATTCAGTATTTGCATATATATTTTTAAAAAATCAGTTTTAATAAGGAAGAGAAATGGATTTACTTACTAACCTTCTGCTTTGATAACCATAATCTTTTGTTTCAGATCAATTGAGGGATGTATCAGACAGAGCCTAGGCTCCTGCTTCTGAGTAATGCAAACTCCATTCGGATTCACAAGCATCCAATTACGGTCATACAACAATCCTTGGTTTCCTACAGGCCACTGTGTAACCTAGCTCAGCAACAGGAAAAATATGAAGAGAAAGAAAACGTCACATCAATTGTTCAATAAAGATCTTTAGTCACAGATTCTCACTGCACAAAAAAAAAAACCCAGAAAAAAGAAAATGCAGCTGTCCATTAGTGAAATCCTTTTCAAATGGAAACAGAAAATCTTGTGCATGTCAGTGTCAGCCTTGTTGACAGAAGCTTTTATTTTCCAATCAAAGATGAAGATCTTATTGCAGGGAGTTGACAGAACAAAAAGGAGCACTGTTACAAATACTTCTGACATTATCACCATGCTTTGAGGTATTAAGATTCAAGAAGAGGGCTGGGATGAGCTGGGGAATAAGATTTGTGACACTTGAAGGGAAATGTTCTTGCTTTCTTCTCTGGACCACGTTTAGGACCCCCAACACTTCATTTTTCATATCTACGCAGGAGAGATTTCAAAAAAGGTGTGTGTGCCAATGCAAAAAAATCAATATTTTTAAAAGGAAAATTTTGAAATTTTCAAACCTTGAAAATGTCACTGTTTTTGTTTCACCAAATGCCCGTGTTTTTCTGTGAAACCAGAAGAACTTTATAAATCTAACTTCAATTTTTGAGGCTTTTGATATTGTTGAGAGTGTGGTGTCTTGTACAGCTCTACTTATAATAAACAGCTGCACAGGCCATTCTATTCTGCCTGTTCTTTCATTAGTTCCATAATATTCTTTATATCCAATAGCCTATACAACCATATTGTCATTCCTTGTATGTACATTTTTCTGGTGAAAAGAACATCTGTTACTGATGCTGTACAGATGGCAATCTTTAAATCCAAAGAAAGCAACTTTGGTCCTGCCTTTGGGTGGTATTAATAATTGCTTTTCCCTTCTGAATGATAAAATAAGTTAATACAATTCTTTTAACAGAAAGCCAGGCATTTAAATATATCACCCCAGATCATGTGCACTCTTGAGTACCAGTAAAATATTTAGGAGAGTTAAGCAGGAGGCAGCTTTGTTGGATTTTCACGTAAATTTGACGAGACAGCCCAAGTCATTAGTAGTAGCCTAACTGGCAAGAATAATGTAGCAAAAAAAAAAAAAAAAAAAACAAAAAAATACTGAGAGCCAAGTTGGACTCTAAGATATGTATGTGCACTTCATGATGTGCCTGCACTGGAAGAAAAATCTGGCCTCAGGCTCAGAATATTCTTTAAAAAATAAATCAAGTTCTGATAAAACACCCTGAGTGTTTTGATAGAAATCCAACTGACTACAAAGAGGAGCTGTAAGTAAGAATTTTCAGCACTTTCTGATAACCAGATCCTTGTAAGGTGTCTCAAGCTAGGCATCACAAATAAATGAATAAATAAATATAGGCAGCATTTTAGAAATCTAGGCCAACATGTTGTCATGTACCTCAATTATACACACTACAAAGATTTTTTTTTTGCCCATTTGCTTATTTTACAATGATCTTAAGTGCTCCTTTTAGTAATAATGACAAAGAACTGTAGGTCAGAAATGTGATTTCGAAGTCTGACGGTGACTCTTAAGCATAGCGTTGTTTTAGCAATCCCGATTATATGCATACATATGGTAGCTTTGAGTGTGCTCAGTGATTGCTATCATATGAGCAAAATACATTTCTGCCAGTAAGGAGCTAGATAGTTGCATAATAGCTGGAGTGGTGACATTTGTATCATCAAAATACAGGATTCTGGACTAATTCTATATACGAGGATCTCTGGCTTCTTTTAAAAATCAGACCCCAGAGATTATACAATCTCAGTTCAAAGGTACTGGCTTTTTCTTTTAATTTGTTCATTGGAAATGCTGGAATTTTTGGTTACTCTGGGTTATTTTGGCTGGAATATGCAGACAGAAGACCTGGCTATCTTCACCTCATATTACAAGAGCTTTAGCTCCATTACAGTATGCAACAAAGCACCAATGCATCCTCAAAAAACATACATACAAGAGCTCTCTAAAATCTGAGAGACTTAGCCCAGGTACAGACATTCAAAAAGCCTGAGGTGGAAGTGATCCAAGTTACACACTTTACTTTAAGTGCCCTAGGTTTGCTGGTGACCAGAACACAGATCTGCCCTTAGGTGGTGGGGGGGCATGCAGACTGCCTGCGCTAGGCAAGGCCAGCAAGCTGAGGGTGCTTCAGCACACCTTCCAGCAAGCTTCCTAGGCTGAGCCATCCCTGATTAGGTGCGGGGCATGGCTGAACACAACTTCCCCACCCCTTCCCTGGCAGGTAGGGCTGTGCGAGGCTTCGAACAGAGCTTCAGATCCAGAGAAACTTCAGATGCTTCAGGGTCTGAAGCAGCACGTTTGGGTTGAAGCGCCGGCCTTGTTTGGCTTCCTGAAGCACTTTGGAGCCACCTCGGAGATCCAGCCATAGGGTATAATGGGGAAACCATAAAATATCTATAACTTTGCTGTTTTTTGTCCAATATGGATGAAAGTTTCAGGGGTGATAGACTCTGTAGAGAGCATAAACCTTCCCAAGTTTCAAGAAGATCAGTGCAGGAGTTTGTGGGGAACAGCACCCCAAATTCCTGAAAGCAAAACTCCTGTCATGTCTAGGTGTTACAACATAGCAGGGTAAAAACTGCAGGGCTGGTAGCTCTTATTGGGGCCACAAAGCCTACCAAGTTTCAAGAAGATTGGTGCAGGGGTTTGAGGGGAACTGCCCCTCAAACTGCAGACAAGCAAACTCATGACATGGGTGCTTCTGGGACTGACTGTCTCTCTCTTGGGCCGGGGCGGGGAAGACACTGATGCAGCCCTGGCTGCTAAGCTGCTGTGTTCCCAGTTACCAATCAATCAATCGTGATTCACTCAGGGACCAGCTCAATACACAGGACCTAGCTACTACATAATGACTTAAGGAGCATCAATTAGCACCAACAAAACCAGGCTAAGGAGAGGAAAGAATCAGTACAGACAATCAATTGCTCCAAGACAGACACAGTCAGTCCCACAAGCACCCATGGCACAAGTTTTGTCTGTCAGCAGCTAGGGGTGCAGGGCCCCAGGACCCCCCTGCATTGATTTCCTCGGCAGCTGGCAGGCTTCGTGGCCATAGCAGGGGCTACCATCCCTGCAGCTGTCACCCCACTAAGATTTAACACGCACAGTGTCATCAGTGGCACCAGTTTTGCTTGTCCGAAGCTTGAAGGGCAGTTCCCCCCAAACCCCTGCACCGATCTCCTTGAAACTTGGCAGGCTTTGTGGCCTCAGTAAGAGCTACCACCCCTGCAGTTTTCACTCTCCTATGTTGTAACACACAGCTGTAACAGGAGTTTGGCTTTCAAGAATTTGGGGTAAAGTTCCCCCCAACCCCCTGCACCAATCTTCTTGAAACACGGCAGGTTTCATGCACTCAGCAGAGGTTACCATCCCTGCAAGTTTCATTCAAATCAGACAAACAACAGCAAAGTTATAGATATTTCATTGATAACCCCATTATAACCAATGGCCCGATCTCCGAGGCAGCTCCGAAGCTTTGGCCAGATTGAGGCGGAAACCTGGTTCGGCGCTCCGGATCAGATCATGGCCATCTGAAGTGGCCAGATCCAAAGCCAGATCGGATCGCTGCTGACTCGCACAGGCCTACTGGCAGGGTCAGTCACAGGCATGACAGCTGCTGGCATGCAGCAGAGGCAACCCTGCTCGGCCATTCCTGTTCTCCCTGGGGCTGCTTGGGATGGACAAAAAGGAGAGTACTAAGTCCTCAAGAGAACCAGAAGCACTGTCATTTCTGAGACACACTCTTCTATAGTCCTTCTAAGGAAGAACCTGTAGTGCTAGCACAACAGGCTAGCTAATCTTGTAACAAAGCATGTTCATTTTCTGCTCTGGCATGAATCAGAGCTACTCTAATTAAAGCACTGGGAGCGTCTTGTGTATCACCATTTCATGAGCTTTAGATAAAGCATCCCCACCACCAATTTGAAGCACGGGGATGCTGATACATGAGATGTGGAGGCTGGAGCGTGGTAGTTACCATACTCCAGCGACTGAGTCTGCTCCAAAACACTGTAATTTCAGTGCGTCAGAGCAGCCTCCACACTTGTGTATAGGTACCCTGAGGTGCTACTCTGAACTACCTTCTGCCTGACCTCAGACCAGCAGAGATAATGACTTTTCAACATCAGCTCACGACACTGATCTACTGAGAGCCAGTTAGTCATGCTAGTCTGAAGTCAGTCAGAAGGCAGCGTAGATATGTACCTTTATAGATTTAACTACATAAGACACGTATGAAAAGCACAAGCTTTCAGTCAGGATACATGCCTTTAGTTAAAAAGAGTTAGTTAGCAAGAAAGTAAAGACTGGAATACAGTGCTAGTAAATTTACAGGTACCACTGCATGACATTTTCCATGAGACAAATTTGTTTTTTAATTTTCTTTAAAAATGCTTGTTGTCTGATTTATTTTTCTAATTACAGGCAAATCAGCCTAAAGGTTAATGCTGTTTGGAAAGTATCAAAGGAATGGAATGACCAGATTTTAAATATGCAAATAAAAAAGAAATGTATGTTCATGTCCTTTGTATGTCTTGTTTCTTCACTGATGACTGAAAATCTGAATTGTATTTAAAATGAAAACATATTTTTATAGTCTTGGGTGATCCTAGGCAATTTTTACAGCACAAAATTTACTACAAAAATAAGAAAGTTATTAATGTTTAAAGTCTTAACGTCTTTCACTGAACATGAGGCATTCAGCAATGATACAAAATTCATGGACATAAAACATTTGTGTTTAAAAATGCAAAAATCTGGGCCTATGAAAAGAGGGATGAAGAGGGGAAGAGTTTAAAGGGGAAAAAGCACCAGAGAAGAATAATTAAATAAAAAAAAAACTAAGGAAATTAAAATACAGCTTTCAAGAAAATTCCATTAGGATTCCCATACCCCATCTGAACCCTCTATTTTGTATGACCTGTTACACATTCATAGAGGAGGACTAAACAGTAAAATGTTTTTTTCTTGTCAAGCACATTTTAGGAGGTGCAGATACAGTAGTAGGAACTAATTAACCCTCCCACCCCAAGTTTACAGATACCGTTTTTAACTTGTATCTTCTCCAACTTCCAAAATATAGTACCCTCATGTGCCATACTCATTTTCTCTAAAAATCAATTAGGCAGATTTCAGAGTTAGGAGAAGATATTTCGGTACTTGCCCCTACAGGAGATCAAACTGTGGTGAGTTTGGCCACATGCTCATCAAATTTAACTTTAATAACCTCAAAACAATCAAAGTGATTTTAATGGAAAAGGGTCTGTGTTCCCTTTAATGCAATTTTCCATTTTACCTCCTTGGTTTATCATTTCTATAAACTTTTTAAAATTTAAATATAAACTTTTTAAACTTTAAACTTTTTAAAATTTAAATACAGCACATACTTCACACTGAAGGCTTATTTTTTACATTTGCCAAAATGCAACTGGGACTGCATTCCAGTTGAATTCAGTTTTCTAGGTACATCCTTGCTTTGTCATTTCTAAAAAGTTAAAACATTGTAAATATGGCAGAACATGTACTTTATACTTAAGGCTTATTTTCTATATTTGCCAGAGGTCTAATCCTGCGATGCTGGCTTGAGCCTTGTGCCTGGATTTACAAACCTATATAATTATGACCTTAACTATCTAGGTATAAGCCAAGAATGTAGTTGCTACTGTTGAATATTTAAGCCACTTTCATATCAGTCCATTTGTAACTATCCTACCACTGTGAAAAAAGGGGATTCAAAATATTAAGTGAGAAAATATTTTAAACCTCTTGTAACTACCGTGTGGCTGAGGACAATTTCTCTTTATTAAAAAAAATACTGAAATTCTTTTTAAAAATTACTAACAGCTAACCAAGCATGGGAAATTTCAATCTAAATTCTACACACTTTGAAAAGTTATGAATTTGTGAAAGCAGAAAAATGGGTTGACAACTTGTGCTCCCTACTATCACAATATTAAGATGGGCAAAGTCCTTGGTTTTCTGTATTAGCTAATTCTGTCATGGTACAGCACAGAGATGCCAAAAACAATGACATTCCAAGGGTAGGCTGAAAGGCCAGCATTTCATTCCCCCTTCATTTAATTTTGGGAAGAACTTTTTGAGTGTTTTACTTCGAACTCCAAGGAGTCTGGCATTTGACACTTTTACCCTTCAAAATGATACAGGTGGAGTAGTGACACATCCAGTCTTATGAAGAGTGACTCACTCTGCAATTAGTGATGATACGGGTTCAGGAGGTAGCTACTCAACACTGCAGCCACAGAAAAGAGGCCAAACAGTTTCTGGATTTAGAATGAGCTTAGGTGATTTCCAAGACATATTGACAGCCAAATAAATTGCTTCTGATTTAGAAAAAAAAATTGTGCAGAAATAAAGTTACAGTACGCTTTTAAATATTCCCCTGTGCCTGGCTGGCAATAAAATGAGGACAAAAAGCTTTTAATTCTTTTTACAAATGTTGATGTTGCTGATGTTACCTGCTTGACTGATTGATTCTTCCATGTGGGGGTCTTAGTTAGTGGGTGGTAAGTGCTGAGACTACTTTTTCTCCTCAGGCATATTAACACTTCTCTGCTGCATCTGTGAATGCCCCTATCAAGAACATCTCAACCAGTCACTCCCACATCATGTGCATGATAACCAGGGATCCAGGTTTTCTATTTCTCGCGGGAAAATGAAATAAAACATGGATTTTACCCTTTACCGGAGGCAAATGCGGATTTCTCATTTTACTGGAGAAACCCATGGATTTTGCAGTTTTGCAATGAACTCTCTGCAGGCCAGTAGAGTTTCAGCCTGCAAGGGGCTGAGAGCCAGTGGGAGGAGGGTGATCAGGCGCAGGGGGGGCGGCGGGCATATGCACATATACGCACATGGCCCCAGGCAGCCTGTAGAGCAGCTTCTGCAGGTAACTGGGGGGGAGGGGACAGAGGGAATTGAGGCCCCCATAGGGAGGGAGGGAGTTAGGCAGGGCTGGCATGGGCAACCAGGTGGTACGTGGGGCTTGGGGCCACAATGCATGGCTGCAGGGCCCCAGTGGAGAGTTGGATGGGGCCACGAGCACCTCATCCAGAAGCCAGGGTGGGGGGGTGGCTCTCCACCACTGCACATGCTTCTGAGGGGCAGGGGGGACTTGCACCCCCCAGATCTGTGCATGGGGCAGGGGTGGGGGTGGATACAGACTTGGGCTCCCACCCTGCTGCCCACCTCGGGACCTCTGCAGTCCAGTGTGCATGGCTTGGCATGGCAAGGAACAGTGGAGCTGTGTGGAGAAGCTGCTTGCTGCTGTGAGCTCTGTGCTGCCCTGGAGATGTGCGTCCTGTGTGCATGGTAGCTTTGGGGCACAAACCCACATTGCTGTCCTCAGTGCAGCTGGGCACATAGGTGGTGTCATCAGGGCAGCGCAGAGTTCGCAGCAGTGAGTAGCTTCTCTGCAAGGCTCCACTGCTCCCTGTTGTGCCGGGTCGCACC